CCGGGCCTTGGTGTATTACCAAGAATATCAAGAATGAAAAAATTTTAACAAGTTACTAAAGCAAAGAGATCGCAAGATTATGCTATGTTTTTGATCAGATGCATACAGTTAAAAAAAAACATTTTTATATAAGTGGGACTGAAACATATTGATTTGAATAATTACCTTGGTACCAGGTCTTTAGTGTTTATGTTGCTCATCATTTATACTGACATATTTTGGAATCTTTGAAGCTGAAGGATCTTTTACTAAATGTTATTTTGTTTCCCCTTTTTTTACTTTAAGAGTGATATAATAATGATCCAATAAAACTTAATTTTTACTTTTTTGGTGCATAGAATATACATTTACAATTATTTTAGGACAAAGTGCTGCTATTATTTATTTATGTGTACATAACTCTGCTTTTAGAAGAATTTGTGAAATCTTTGGTCTTATTTCCTGCCTGTTGTTTTAACTAATTTCCCTGCATCCCTGTATCTCCCATCAGTGTTTCCCCAGCTTTACTTCCATATGATACGACAGAGGAAGAAGGTACTAGGCCACACAGAGGACTACAGCAAAGTGGAATGAGGTGTGCAGAGCTCACAAAGGGTCCAATGAGAGAAAAGCTACCAAAACATCCCATAAACAAACAAATCAATGTTTCCTATTTTCAAACTGCCAGAACTGATCCTCTTGATCATCCTGTTATCCACCCACATTATTTTATTCATTTCATTCCTAAAGCTATGGAAAGCAAAGAGACATTCTGGATGAACTTGTTAGTTTTTGCATATTTCTGATCAAATTGTGATAATATTGAAGTCTAAAGAAGTGATTGACTTGAATAAAAATGAGCTGCTTTGTGAGCATTGATCAGAGTTTGTACACAGTTAATCTGACCTGATGATTCTCTGATAAACCTCTGACCTCCTAACAAATGACACTACTACAGAGAATATAGGTTTCTCCTCCTGACTTGTTTTATGACCCTGTTGTATGAACCAGGTCTGCTCTAGGCCTCTTTAACTCTGAAAAAATACCGTGGAGTGTAGCACTGAAATCAGACATTGTAGGATTTGTGTCCTTTATGTTGGTTTGTACAAGCATTTGTATTTCTTCCATTTTGTGTAATTTATTGAAAGGTTTGGTACATTCCATATTTAGTTCAATAAACCCTTCTCCATCCCATGCCTGTTTTAGTTTTTTTTACTTTTTTGGATGTTTGTCTTTTCTGTTTTTTTGACTTGAGTTAATTCAGTTATTCAATGCCTTACAATAGTAGTCCATCCTCCTTCATATTTTAACATGGAAATGTCTACATTAGGGCTGGGTAAAAAAAATCTATTTAATCGATGTCTAGGGAATGAGATCAATTAATTTTATAGTGACGCGCATGACGTTCACATTCAAATGAGCAGGAAAGACAACTTCAAGCCAGACAGCTGCAAATATAGCCAATAGGTTGATTGAAGACATTAAAAAATGGGCTGACCAGCAAACACCCTGTAGTTGTTAGAGTATATGGTTTGTGCAGTGAAGATAATGCAGCTCATGCATGTCTGCTTATTCCCCGCTGTGTTCCGTTGGCTTGCTCGAGTGAGGCTTCCCTTTTTCACTTTTCACAAACAAGTTTGCACTTTTGAGACAGTTTTGTTCACATCTCAAGTTTAAACTGTCCGATTTACAAGTTTGCACTTTGTGTTTAATATGACAGGAAAAAATAAAGGTCTAAAATGTGTGATCTGCATTTGTATTTTACTTTGCAGAAAAACATTCTGCTACTGTCATAGTCGTAGGTTCTAATTGAAATGCCTCCTCCAGCTTTGCATGTTTTTTACTTTGGTTTTTTGTTTGTGCAGAAATGTTTGCCAGTTCTTCAAAAATTTGTTCAAGTTTAGACTTCTTGTCATCTCTGGCCAGATGCTGCCTTCCTCTTAAAGGGAAGCATCCAACCAGCATGTTGCTGCCACTACCATGCTTCACTACGGTTCATTTGTTCCCAAATAATCATGCATGTTGGCCAAACATCTTTTACATGTTTGACTCCTGTATGGTTTTAAATTTAGTGGACTTTTTACAATTTTCTTTGTTCCATTAATAACAGAAATGTTACCAGACTCTACCACTTGAGGTGCGGGTCTCTGCAGCTTTCTTTAGAGTTATCATGGCCTTCTTCCCTACATCTGTGATTCATCATCTCCTTGCCCCCTTTGTCAAATCAGGTGAACATTCGTGTTTAGTAGGTTAGCAGTTTAGGCGAACTCTATTTTAATCTTAAAAAGCTTTAGAACGCCATGCTAGATTTCCATTCTAATTCACAACTATGCAATTATAATTGGTCAAAATCTCAAAATATAATAAAAGACTAACAGTGTGGATACTTTTGCAGGGCACTATATAGTGATGCAGTACTTTAACATTTGTCTTTTCTCTCCCAGGTTGTCATGAGTGGTGCTTTGCATGATATATTTTATTTAATATGTGATTTAAAAAAAAAAAAGAATTCTGATTTCAACTATCTTTGAGCAAACATGTTACTACAATTCCATTTTTTTCATGTTCATCTTTTTAAAATCACTCTTTATCATCTTTTTTTATAGGTTTTCATCATATTGTATTTTTTTTTATATTAAAGAGCAAGTTGTACAGATTGACAAAAACTAGCACAACATGCTGTAGCAAGAGTGTTTTGAAATGAGGCCGGTTGATATGTAAGAAAACTGCATTGTAGCTGAAATAAGTGCTGGAAGTTGCAATTTCTTTGTTTCTATTGATTTCTTAGACAGAATTGTCGTGCTTAAAACCTGTAATTAATATTGAGGTATGTGAGATGAAGTAATAATCTCAAGTGAAGGTTTTGTCCGTCTTGTGTATTTGGGATATTTTCAGGGATCTAATCTTGCGGGTTTTTGCTCTTTATGGTGGGCTGAGCTGAAACTCCTGATTCATATAAACAAGCTAAAATAATTTAATTTGCCAAACCTTTTACCTTATTGATATAGATTTGGTTTTATTTGAATTAAGTTTGGGTTCACCTCAGGTAAACACACATCTGATATCTGACAGTTTGATATGGATTATATGGGTTACAGTTTTAGGGTCCCCAAAGATCTCATCCATCATGTTCTGCTGTGGTAAATGATACGACTGTTTTCTATGATGGAAACAAGATGCATCAATGGTGTCTTTGAAGAGTCTACTGACCACTCTTTAAGAAGTCTCCTAATTAGGTCTAAGAAATAAAACTTAATCTAGAGCGGCTTGTTACCGCTGGTATCCCAGAACTGCTTTGCCTGCTGCTGCGTTTTTCTCCATGAGGTACGATGAGAGGATGAACTGCCTTAAAAAATCTATTCTTGACATTAATTACATTTAGTCAACTTACAACCACAAGCTTCGATTGATATTAGATGGGTTGATATGGAAAGAGAAACGTTATTTCAACTAAAATTTTATTTCACTTTTTAAAACTAAGTAAAATTTGAAATAAAACAATTGTAGCTCAGAGTGGTGTGTTTAGGGGGGATTGTCCTGTTGAAAAGTTAACCCCCCCTTCCATGTCTCAAGTCTTCTTTTTTTAGCCTCTAACAATTTATGTTCCATTATTGTTGAAAGCAAGAAAAATTCTGTGAATGGAAATTTGAAAAAACTAATTTCTGAAACTAAAAAAATCCTATCCAGAGATTAAATTTTGACTGTTTTAAGTTTTCTTTAAAATAAATAAATATGTTTTTAGTTTACTTTTTTCTTCAAATGTAGTTTTTTGTGGATTTCGTTTCAATGAATTGGATTGTTTTCAAATGTCGTTTTTTCCAGATCAAATTCTCTGCACTTCTGGGGGCGGGCTTTTCTCTGGAGGGAGGAGTGAAGATGCATTTCTATTGGTTTTCTTTAACAGCATCAACACTATTGTATTAGTCAATATGCTTGTCAAGAGTGAGCGTTTGTATTAGGTTGGAAGTGAAGAGAATGTGATTTGTGAAATGCAAGTCATATTGATAACTATCCGGGAGGAAAAGAGTTTGAAAAAATTAAATTCAAAAACATTAAAACTATTAAAATAAAAAAAATAAATGAATAAATAAAATATGAAAAAAAAGAATACCTACCAGAATATTTTTTAACACATAAAAAATTGCATTCTTTGGTTTCAACAGTAATGGAACAAAATTCAGATTAACAGTCCTTAACAATGTTTCATATTAGGGAAGGCCTTTAAGAGTTGTGTGAGATTAAGGATTTTAACTACATCATCTATTCTTTTTTTCAATCTTTTCTTTCTTTATTATAATGTATTAGAAAATTGCTTATAAATTTTCCAAAGCTTTGAATTTTTTTCTGTAGCCCCTAATTTAAACTTCCAAGGTTTTCCTCTTAACCCATCTGTCCAATGGATGCTCTTTGTTCATGAAAGCTTCGCTTTTACATTTAGACTAAATTATACACAAGTATTGCCCAATTGGCTTCACAGGCCTTGACTATTGTGCAGTGTTCTAACTGTAACACTTTAAGAATCATTAATTGAACTTTTTCTACTTTACAATCATGCATTACTTTGTCGGTCAATTACATAAAAACCTGCTGAGTTTAACATTCTGTGTTGGAAGTTATGTGATAGAATACGCTGTAAGGGAGTGAATTTTTTTTTAAGGCACTGCATCCTCTTCATGAAGAAACCAGTTAATGTAATCAGAAAAATAATTGTAAAAAATTTATTTTTCTTGTAATATTGATTTTAAAGAAACCAGCTTTTGATTGGCTTTGGCGTCTGATGAGTCCGTTTTAACTTCCCTTCCCTTCATCAATGGATGAGCATGATTCTGGCTTGTTTGTTGGATATACCTTGCACAATACATCTGAAAACTGCATGGAAGAGGTGATGCAGACTCTTCAAATGATGACATGTCTCATAACACAAGCGGAGGAAAAAAACAAACAAGCATGGTACTTTTCTTTATATCTGGTTCTGTTGAATAAAAGTTTTGATACCAAGCCTCTGCAAGACATCAGCAGACTGATGAGTATGATCACTGAGTATATATTTACAATAAACCTAAAGTATGGAAAAGCACTTTGGTTTTTGTGTTGTTACTATAATTAAATGTGATAATTGTTGTAATACATCTCAGCTGCATAGCGAGGGAGAATGTTTTGTGTTTGACTTAATGTACATCTGACTCACTTTAACTCCATGTCACGAGAGCACTCGAGAGACCTTAAACCCATTAACTGACCAAACTGTGCTCCATCCATTTTGTATGGAAATTAGAAGCCACAGTGATCGATCAGTGGTCTGGATTATCGTGAGCTGTCTGGGAAAAACTACATCTCTCATTTGATGTGATTCATCTACTCAAGAGGAAGTCGTTTCTGAATTGTCTCTGGGAAAGGAAAGCATCCCATATTTTAGATCTATGGTTTAATGTATCAATGTATAATGATTAACATTATATTGCCAAAAGTATTGTTGGGCCATCAACCACAATATTAATTTTGGACATTGGGGTGCAATGTCCATGCTGACTTCAACCATAATCATTGGTGCAGGAGGATGCCGCTTTAGTCTGCTGTTGGGAGTTGTCTGGACTCTGCAGAATGATCTTCATCAAAGCTTAAATGGATCTGGTGGCTAATTTCAGAAGCAAATGCAAAAACTGACTAAATAAAAAAAAAATGCTCAAAATTTCAATTTTCAGAATTTTGCAGCTTCAGCTTTTGTAAAAAATCATTTTATGTTATCGTTAAAAGGACCCAATGAATGCTTGAATTATTAGATATAGCATTACCGGATTAAAAACATGCTTACTTTACTGCAATCAAAATTATCACAGTATTTTTTTCTACCTTGAAAAAATATCACCTAAGTTAATGATAATAGCTGCATCACAGGATGAAGATCACACTTTCTTACCATGCTATTGAAATTCAAAAAGAAAAGTAAAAAAAAAAAAAAGTTTAATAAAAAATGCTCAGCAAGAACAAACAATAGTTCCTCTAAGAAGAAAAAAAAAAACAGGGCTTGCTCAACATGAGCAGTCGGTAGGTGTAAGAATATCTGTAAAGTCATTATTTTAGTAGAGCCTTTGTCCAGAATTCAGTGATTGAGAGATAGGGTACACCCTGGACAGGTCGCCAACACAGAGGAATACGGGACAGTCCGGCATGCAAAGATTCATATGTAAGGGGAATTTAAAGCATTCAGTTGATTTAAAGTCATGTTTTTTGGGTACAGACCTAATATTTTGAAGTATTATTTTTAAATCATATAACAGCAATTTATTATTTATTTTTTTAGATATAAAACATTTAATATACTCTTAAAACAACATTTTGCCCATGACTGGTGAGGAAGTTGGAAAAAAAGGCCATCCT